GGCACTCTATTTGCCCTGCAGACTTAAAAGCTTCTAGACCAGGAGTTGGCAACATTTTTGGGCAGAGGGTCAAAAACACCCACAACCTCAACTTGTAAGATGTTAGCATGCCAGGGGCAGATGATGGGGAAACTGCAATGGGCCTGATCCTTGCTATGGCAGCACAGCCACTTCCCTGCCGTCTGCCCTGAGGTATGAATGCCAAGCAAAATGCCTTCATATGCCACACTGGCACATGTGCCAGGAATTGCCTACCCCTGATCTAGATTCTCTAAGTAATCCCCAACCTGCCATTACTTTAGGCTGTTTGTCTCCTTCTCTATCTGTGTTGCTAACTGCATTTGTCATCTGGTATCTACCCCATTAATGTAAACCAGGGGTGGGCAAAATATGGCTTGTGAGCCACATCCAGCCCACAAGGCCATTCTATCTGGCCCGTGGGGCCCCTAAAAAGGTTAGAAAATTAATATTTATCTGTCCTTGGTTCCTGTAAAAAATGATAGGAACCAGGGTCCAGGGGCAGAAGGACCCAGGGGAAGCCCAGTGGGCTCCTGCAACCGCAGGGCCTGCCTGGTCCTGCCCAGCCCCACAGCTGGAAGCCCCAGCAGGGGCTTTGGGCCTGGGACCATGTGGCTTCTCAGTGCACCGGCGCGGGAAACTCGGGAAAGGGTGGGGGGGAAGGGCAGGAGAGGAGCCCAGGGAAAAGTGGCCCCGCCCTTGCCCCATGGCCCATGCTCCCTGCTGCAGTCACTCACAGCCCACGTGGCGCGGTCCTGAGCAGGCACAGGCAGCCCCATGTGGGCTATGAGTGGCTGCAGTGCCGGGCACCAGCCATGGGGCCGCTTTTCCCGCACTCAGCACCAGCTTATAATCCACCCCCACTGCCAGACTGGGCCCCATGACAGCTCTGCATGCAGCAGCTGTGCCCTCCCCCCCCCCTCGCTTGCTGCACCGGGCAGCATTTGCTGCTCCTGCCCACCCGGAGCTCGCACACTGGGCAGTGGTGGAAAGCAGTGCGCGACACAGTGAGCAGGGGGGCTGCAGCTGCTGCCACTGTGCACAGCCTCAATGGGCGAGCTGGCGTGGGGCCCAGGCTGGCAGCACGGGCAGGTTGCAAGCTGGTGCTGAGTACAGGAAAAGTGGTCACTCGCCCTCCCCATGGCCGGCGCCCCGCGCTGCAGCCGCTCACAGCCTGCATGGGGCTGCCTGTGCCTGCTCCGGACAGCCCCGCACAGGCTGCGAACTGCTGCAGCAGCAGAGAGCTTGGGCCACAGGGAAGGGGGGTGGGGAGGGGCTGCTTTTCCACACTCAGCACCACCTGCTGGCGAGCAGGGGGTCGGGGCTGCACGCTGCCCCCTGTCTGTGCCACGGGGCTGGCAGGCACTGGGAGTGAGCGGGAGCGTGAGGCCCACACCAGTGTCATGGGGCCCAGAGCAGGGCGGCAGGAGTACAGGGGTCCTGGCTGGCAGGGGCTCTATGGAGCCGTGCCAGCTCCCCACTCCCTGCTGATGCAGCCGAGCCCAGCTCCACAGACCCCTCCCAGCCTGCGCCCCACTCTGAGCCCTGCTGGTGCTGGCCCAGAGACATTGGTCCCAAGGCATTGGGACATTGGTCCCAAGATGGTGACCTGGGGGCAGGACACCTGTCAAGGGGCAGGGGTACCCATGCAGCCCTCGACAGCTTGCCAAAACTGGGTAAGCAGCCCTCCACCTGAAATAATTGCCCTCCCCTGGTGTAAACTGAAGTAAAAAATGGCATTAAATACTCCAGCCTTCTCTGCATTGTTTGTGACTAGATTGCATTTCGTATTCTATATTTTTGAGATACCTGTAGAATTCCTTTCTGTTGCCTTTTTATGTCCTTGGCTATATGCATCTCAAATTATGCCTTTCTAATTTTCTCCCTGCATGCCCATGTGATACTCTTGTACTCTTCCCTAGTACTATGAACAAGTTTCCACTCTTTGTAGGATTCATTTCTGAGGAAGAGATTGCTGTCTGGCCAGGCTGGCCTCCTGTTGCACATCCTATTCTTCTGTCATATTGAGATAGCTTTCTGCACTCTTTAAAGGTCTTCCTTAATGTACAACCAGCTCTCCTGGTCAACTTTTCCCCTTGGATTTGCTTCCTGGGGGATCCTGCCCACCAGTGTCCAGACTTCGTTAAAGTTTGCTTTTCTAAAGTCCAGTGTTTTTATTCTCCTGCTATACTTCCTTTCTCCTTGTAAGATTTTGAACTTTGTCACCGCATAGTCACTGTCACTCAACCTACCTTACACCCTCACATTCTCAACCAATTCCTCCCTGTTTATGAGCTGCAAATTGAGAAAAGCTTCCCTCTAGTTGGCCTCTCTACCATCTGTATCAAACATTTATTCCCACCAGATTCCAAGATTTCGCTGGACTGCTTCTGCATTTCTGAGTTTCCCTCCCAGCAGATGTCCTGAAAATCAAAGTCTCCCATGAGAACCAGGTCCTGCAATTTGGAAGCTTCAGTTATTTAAAGAAGGCATCATCCACCTCCTTGTCCTGGCTTGGTGACCTGTAGTAGATGCCCATCGTGGCATCCCCCCTACTCTCCCCCCTGACATTTACTCAGAGGCTTTCAACAGACCTTTCACTTCATTCTTCACTTCACAACACCTTTATATACAGGGCAATACCTGCTCCTTTTTTCCCATGTCTATCCTTCCTGAACAAGGCACCCAGTCCATGTCCATACTCCAGTTATGCAAACTATCCCACTATGTCTCCATAGTCCCTATTCTATCATAATTCTGTGATTGTAACAGGACCGCCTGTTCTTCCTGTTTGTTCCCCATGTACTTCTTGCATTTGTATATACACATTTTATATATAAAATATTATATAAACGTATAAATACACATTAAAAGTACAACTACACATTAAAAATTCTCATCCATGGGTTTATTAACCTGGAGGCCACAACATTTATGACCTACAGCCAGATTCAGATGGATCCAACCAATTGACTTGAGAATTGCAACTGTCAAGAATCATTTTGCTGTTGAAATATGAGGCCAGGGTATAGGAGTCCAGCAGGAACTGGGCAGTGCTATTCAGACATCTACATCATTCAGCACCCTGATCTCTAATTAATGGTGCAGGAGTCTCTGCACAATACAACTACAAATAACACTTTGGTCTTTAAATTTTTCATCTTCTAAATGGTTTTCATTTCTAATAAACTTCCTTCCTGATGCTTTTAAATGAAATCCCATTTAGTACTGAATGCTTCTCCTTATATTGATAATAAGAGCTGGGAATATGCTGTCACAGCCACCCCGTGCCAATTACCTTAACTACTTTCTGCAGTCTCATCCTTAGAAGTAGTTGTAGGAATCGCATTACATCTGAGACCTGAAAGGGTTTACTTTTTTAATTAGGCCGATATGTACATAATTATCTTTGGACTCTGCTCCGCTGCAAATACACTAAATACTCTATCGCTTGTTTCTGCAACATTCAATCAAGGTGTCAAACTCCCCCCCACACCTCATCCCAGATCCAACCATGGGGCTTCTCCCAAGCCAGGTCCTTTTTATGCAATGTGTAGTTAACCTGTGGAAATCATTGCTACAGGAGGTGGTAGAGGCAGTTAGCATAGCCATGTTCAAAAAGGGACTAGGCAAATTCATAGATAATAGATCTACTAATATCTGTTGAACAGAATGGTTGGAGATGTTTCCTCTGACATGTCTAAACTAATAACTGTGGATGCCAGACAGGGTAATAAATAGGGGATAGATCTCTCTAGTTAAATTCTCTCCCTCTAGCATCCACTTCTGCCACTGTTGAAGACAGGATCCTGGGCTAATAGACCACTGCTCTGACCCAGTATGGCACTTCTTATATTCTTATCCATACCACGGTGGCTCCTCCTGGGCTGGATCTATGGAGTCAGCAGCAGCTGTGGTGGGCCTGGGTCTGGAACCAATGACGCAGGTCCACATTCAGGCAGTGTTGGTGGCTGGAGATTGGACAGCAGCACAGGTCCGAGAGTGGGCAGCAGCAAGGCATGTGAGGCATGTATCTACACAGCCCTTGTTCACCTCCCTGTGCAAATGTCCATGTCCACTGGGGTCTAGGGACCCTGAATTCTGTAACAGATTACATCCAACTGGCCATGATCCCAACTTCCTGTAGCCCACTGGACCAGAGGGATGACTGGAATCGTTCCACAAGCTGGATCCGGTCCATGGGCCATATGCTTGATACCCCTGCACTAAATCTTTCCCAAATTTTTACCCTATTTGCAAATCATACTGAAAAATTAACCTCCATATTTTTGAAGGAGGGGATGCTTTTCAAGACTCTTCCTGTAAGGGTAGTAAGTTTTATGGTCACTTTTTGGTAACACTGGCCTCCCAGGGAGACATCATTTTTTTTACACCATCATGAAAAGGTCAAAGTCTCCTTGAACTCATGGACATTTGGTTTCTTTTAGCATCCCTAAATCACTCATCTTCAATTTTGACCTTATTATTGGAAAAAAGTCGTGCCAGCCTTACCTCCTGCTTTGTGCAGGGGGTTGGACTAGATGACCTCCTGAGGTCCCTTCCAACCCTAATTTTCTAGGATTCTCTGATTCATTGAGGCACTAAGTTCTCACCAGTGCTACATAAGCATCTATGGACTACACCTGGACCCAGCTGGGTTTTACAAGAGCCTCTTAAATTGCACAGGGTCTTGCATTGAGATCCACACAGATGTTTGCGCACCAATATGCCTAAGCAGATCTGAACCTTGGCCTATATATGCAAATGATCAAAGACAAGCCATATTCTTTGGTGATATTTTTTTATGAGATACAAAATAAGGCTGCTTTATTATGAAAGTTAAATATCATTTGTCTTTTTACAAATCACAGTGCTAGTCTAAACAGACCAGTTAGGAAGTGGATTGCTTCTAAAGGCTGTGGATTCCCAGCGGCAGAATCATTACATTTTCCAAAATACTTATCATAATTATGTTTTGTTCAGAGATTAGTTGAGTTATCCTCTTGGGATCAATTATGACTCATCCAAAAGCCAGAAGCAAAAGTTCTTCAGTAAAATCCTATTGGAATGGATACCAGCTGCTTGCAACAATAAAGTATTTTCCCCCTCCACAATTTAATGTGCTACTGAAGTTATTAAAATGTTGCTCTTGGTCATTTTTCAACATTCTGCAGAAACTGCTTCAAGGTCATTATGCCTGACAAATAGAGAATAGGATATGCAAAAACAATTTCTCGAGGTGCTTTTAACCAGGTGCAGTTTATTTAATAAGATCATGTGGCCTACTTCAGAGGAATTAGCCATGTTTGTACTAAAGGTAGCAATAGGTTATAGCATTAGAATGGAAGAGCAGAAAAATTCAGAGGGCCAAATTCTGACTGGCTATGGATCTATAGAGGAAGCTGTAGGCATAAAAGTTTCCAACTCAACCCAGCCCCCATGCCAGATCCCAGGTGCAAGGGCCCATCTAGGGCCAGATCAGTGGGGCTGCTGCATTTTGGCAGCAGTGTGGGTCTGGGGCTGTGTGGCTGGCTGGAGATTCACAGAGCGCAGAGCTAGGAGCTTGTGGTGGCACAAGCTCTAGCCTAAGGTGGCTCTGCACCATTATAGGTCCTCAGCTCTGTGCAGCTGCCTGGCTAGAGCTCTGCACCACCACGTGACCTTGGCTCAGCACTACCACACACTCCAGGCACTGCTGCCCAACCAGTTCAGTGCTGCTGCCCAAATGTGGCTCTATGTCACTGCTCAGTGGCATAGAGCTCTGGCCCCTGGCAGTGCCAGGGATGTGTAGCAGTGCAGAGCCAAGGGCATGCAATTCCATATCCAGGATTAGGCACTAAGTGCAAATGCAGACTGGCTTCCTAAGACACCCCTGATTTAAGCATTGCAGCAGCAAGTAGCAAACTACAAAAACCCTCGTGCTGAGCTGGGAGTGAGTGACCTGGGATACCCCAAATGAAATGGGGAACGCAGCAGTGTGTCTGGACTCAAACCCCTCATCATATCATAGATGCCTGGTATGGGCTTCTGTCTACTCAGGGCTTGTCTACACTGTGCAGTAGCTGGTCCTAGTGAGGACAGGCTGAGTGTACTCCTCCCATGCCCTGTTCATTCAAGTCTGCAGGCATGCTCCAGATCTAGAACTTTGCCCATAAGGACTCTGTGGGTTTGTCCTCTCCACTGTTGAGATTTGGCCAGTGTACAGCAAAGAATTCAAGATACATGGAGGCAAACAGAACAGGCACAAAGAAATCTGACTCTGAGTCCTAGCGGTTATGGCATTCAGCTGGAAGGAAGGACTCTTCGAATCTTGGGTTCCAGTCCCTACTGCCAGGAGTATTTCTGCTTCACCCACTGTCTGTCTAATGTAAAATGCACAAACTGCTTTGGGAGTAGGGACCATACCCAAGGGCTAGGGACAGAAGTTACACATAAACCAGTTTAAGTGATCAGAAACTAGTTTAAACCTGCAACAGAACAGAAGTTGTCTGCTCATAAACCAGTTTCAAGATGACCAAAGCTAGTTTAAGATAAACCTGGTTGAATGTAGCATCAGGCTTAACTGATTTAGGTTAAACCAGTTTATGGAACTTCTGTCCCAGACCCCTTCCTGGTTCAAGTTAAATCACTGTCCCCCAGCATCCCAGGATGCTTTGCAGCCCTGGGCTCTGCTGTGCTGTCTGCTCGAGCAGAGCAGGGTTAGCCCCGCCCCTCTGCTCTCTAGCCAGAGCAGTGGGGACTGGATGACAAGGGGGTGGGAGTGGAAAACCTGGCTAGGGATGCAACCTGGTCTGCATGGAAAAGGCAGAGCAGCCCCTGCCACACTTTTCCCTGCCGAAGTGGAGGGGGCAGAGGTGTGGGACTGCAGGCTCAGGTGGAGGGGATGGAGGGGAATTAAACCCCCCTTCCTCCTCTCTCCCACCAGCACAGGACACCTGTTGGAGTCTGCCTCACTTTCCCCCCTGCTTGCAGCCCAAGCAGCAGGGGGCATGGCTAGCTGGTGGCCTGGGCAGCACCCTAGGCAAAGGCAGGGGGAGGGAGGAGGATTAAACTCCCCTGCCTCCCCTCTCCCACTGACATGGGACCCCAAATGGGGTCTGCTCGGCATTTCCCCCCTGCTCACTACTAAGTTTAATCCCTCTCCCCGCCCCCCCCACCCAAACACCCGCCCACGGACACCGTGGACCGTGGATGAACCTG